ACCACCCGGGTGGTCTGTTTTGAACAAGCCCAAAAAAAAAAAAAAAAATACCTCTAGTCTAGTCTCCTTTTCGCTGGCCTGGAATGCATGCAAATGCACTGGGCTGTACCAGAAAAGGCCATTTTAATGCAAAAAAAAAGTTGTGGAATGCTGCAAAATCGTGGCAAAATGCAATGCACTGCATTCCAGATCTGGTCCGGAAAATGGTGTGAACCTGGCCTGAGACTTTCATCACTCAATCATGTATTTTGTGGGAACTCCATGGACCACAAATTTCTTAGTTTGCTGGCATTGCTGTCCACCTTCGTGCATTTATGTGCGTTTTTGCCCACTGTGGAGTATTCCCTCTCATTACATTGTGATTAACGTAAAAGAAAAATATGCATTGTGATATGTCTGTGAAGGTTCTCATTCATCCAGGTCATGGTATATCTGTAAAAAAATAAGTCAAGGCAACTGGACTTGGACTGGATCAGACCACTTGTATTAAACGAGCGGCGGCGGCTCCACAATGCACATTCAGCTCTGTTTGTCCGGAGTCGGGCTAAATGTACTTTAAAACTACTCACCCGGCGCCCGAAACTGCATGTCCCGGGCGTCGGGCGATAGGAATTCCACACCCCTGGCCCATACACTCTGCAACGTGTTTTAGATCGATAATCAGACAGTTGATGGGAAGTCAACGATTACAATTCCTGTACTTCTGACCGAGATTCATCAATCGGTCAGGCTGGAAAACTTTTTTTAAATCGTACGAAAATCGATGGATTAGTCACTAGTGGCGTTTTGGTTCGAAGTAAGAACATTGCACATGCGCAAATTAAAATCTATTCTGTCGATCGAAATTTGGGGAGTTAGTATTGCCAACGCACGATTATCGGAACAACATTGGTCTCTGCTTGATGGGCAATTTGAGCTAGAATCGACAGTGTATGGGCACCTTTTAGACTTATCATGACAACCAATCAGATTTAGGCCTGCCATGGATGTTTGAATGTGATTGTTGATACCAAAAGGAGGTTGCACACTACAGCTCGGCTTTAACCCTTCATAACTGAGCCTGTTTTTAATTTCTGTTCGTTAATGACCGACCCACTTTTTAAAATTTTTTTGTTGTGTGATTCTTCCACGGCAGTGATATACTTTCTTACTAAAGTGCACACACACATATTATATATTGTTTTTTTAGAGGCCAGATAGGGCTATATATATATGTGTACCTAACGCCTCACTTAGGACAAATAAAATATAAATAAATGAGGAAAACGCATAAAGAAAACACTTTTTCCCCAGTTTTGATTTATTATTTTTATTTTTTTTAGAATAGCACAGCTAAAAAAAATTCATTAAAATTTATTTGACCTTTTATTTGGAAACACCTCGCATTCCTAGGATTTTAGAAAGTTTTCTGTACCTAAAACTAAAAGCTAACATTTTATTTTTTCCTCTAAAAGCTAATAGTGACATTGTATGCCAGGTGACCACTAAGTGTCACACTTGGTGACCAGTGACATACTTTGAAAATCGCTGACACGAGGTTAAATAAAAAAAATGAACCCCTTAGGGTGAAAAACAAATTTGCAGCCCAGTTAATTTTTATGATCGCATAAATCTATATTTAAATATAGATCATTTTTAATTTATTTGTTATGCTTTCCACTAATTAAAACATTTTTAACACTTATCTATTTTTAATTATATCAAGCAATCATTGTGAATGAATCTCAATATGGCTGCTTGATGATTTAATTAATTTTTGCTTATTAGGCTGCTCCAAACTTAGGAACAGCCAATAATAATCTTAGTGACACTGATGCTGTTGAGTTTGACAGCCCTGCACTAAAGGCTTCTGATTGTTGCCAGAACAATCAGAAGACTGCAACATTGTTTCAGAATAGAAATCTGTAGCTAAACCTGTGCCTCAATACTGAGACATCCATTAGGCCTGGTTCACACCTGAACATTTTGTAGCGCGTTCAACGCTCGACGAACGCTCTACAAAACGCTCAAACATCTAAATCCCATTGTATTCAATGGGTCTGGTTCACACCTTGCCGTATTTCCGCCCGTCCGAACGCGATACAAAACGGCCTACGCCCAAAGAAGTACATGTACTTCTTTGGGGCGTTTTGGTCTCGCGTTTCCATTAGGATACAGCCAAGTAGCCCACGGAAACGCGTGTTTGTCGCGCGTTTTTTTCCCTGTGAATCGCTGTAAAAATGCGTGACGCGAACCGCGCGACAAACGCGCATATTCAATATGTCCTAGGTGTGAACCCAGCCTAAATGAACCGTAAACGCTGAATCTCAGCGTTAACCAGCATTACAGAGCCCCAAATAGCTGCTCATGTTCAGTGTAATTTGGGCACGTAGTGGCGGGGACGTACAGTGTCTCTGGTCACGAAGAGGTTAAGAAGCTCAGTGTGCAGTGGATTGCAGAAAAGTTAGCTGGGTAAATGAGTGAATTTTTTTAGATTTTAGCACGTCATTTAGACTTGCTTATTATATAGAACTATTCTTTTTTTTTCTTCAAAGCAATCTTGATCAATTCCTCACAAATCATAGGTAGCAGCCCTTCGGTGGAGGTTAATTTGGGTGGAATGTTTCTTCAACCATTTTGTTGATAGGAAACAGACTGTAAAGCTCTTAAAGTTGTGTCGTTTTTCCAAGCTGTGTCTGTCTTTGAAATGTTAGCTGTAAAGTCCTTTGTTTTATTCCACTTGGCTATTACAATAATTGTGTACCCTAACAATCACATGGCTGCAAATTAATATCAATTTCTAAACCACATGAAAGGAGAGTAATGCAGTATATTAACGTATACTGTAGTTTTTAAAATGCAGGGTTTGGCATTTGATTTAAAATGACATTCTTGTAAACTCCCTTTTTTTCTGTAGGACATTCTGTACCAGCAGTCCTCCAGAACACTTTCCATGCTCAGGCGTGTGAAGAGCTGTTTAAACACTTGTGTATAAGTGGAACACCAAAGATAAGGCTGCACACTGGCCTGCTCTTGGTGCAGCTGTGTGGTGCGGAGAGATGGTGGGGCCAGTTTCTCTCCAATGTTTTACAAGAACTATACAACTCAGAGCAGCTGTTGATCTTTCCTCAGGACCGGTGAGAATTACTTTTACATTATCTTTTGAGCTTTCTGATATGTACAGTATACAGTGTACTGCTTGGAGATATCTCAATTTGTTTTTTTTCAGTTCACCATTGTGTACCTGTGAAATATCAGTTTTGAATGGCCATACTCTTTCATTGGCTATAGCAAATAATACTTTAATAGATGTTCAAAGAATGCTGTTGAATAAATCCTCGGCAGATGAATAACTAATTGCTTTTGTTTTTGCATTCTGTTTGCAGAGTCTTCATGCTTCTTTCTTGCATAGGCCAAAGATCTCTTGGTAACAGTGGAGTCCTGGAAAGTTTATTGAATCTGCTGGACAATCTTTTATCACCTCTACAGCCACATTTACCTGTCTTTAGGCGTGTCGAGGGTAAGAGCCCTTTTCAGCTCACTGTTTTTAAAGCTGAACTTCATCCTTAACTTCATTTTTGGATAGTTATACCGCCTCTCCTGCACTGAAACCGCTTAGTCTGATATTACTGCATACTATGAGCTTCTTACAGTTTGCTTTGGAAGCTGTAGCAAGTCAGGTAGAGGCCTCCTTATTTCTTAGCTGCACGACATCCAGCATCATCAAGACCTGTTCTTTGCAGCCTACTTGCACCCGCCATTGTCTGCATACACAAACCATGACTGCAGTCATTATCCAACAGCTTTGAGGGGTAATGCGGGGCCACACCCTTCTCAATTTCGGCACACTCTGGAGGACTGGGACCTGAAAATAATCCTAACACAATCTTGAGCAAATTCAAACTAAGCATAATATGGTGGTAGTGTGTAAGCAAAGAATACCTAGAGCAGTGGTGGCGAACCTTGGCACTCCAGCTGTTTAGGAACTACAAGTCCCATGAGGCATTGCAAGGCTCTGACAGCCACAGACATAACTCCCAGAGGCAGATGCATGTTGGGATTTGTGGTTTTGGCACAGCTGGAGTGCCAAGGTTTGCCACCACAATCTCACCACTTTCGGCCCGCAGAGTAATATCGGGAGCTGTGGCTCTAGATAAGTCAAAGTTCCACCCTGCACTGTTCTACCCAGTGAGGCAGATATCAATCGATTTTCAAATAAGGTAGAACAGCCTTCCCAGAGACTGGAGGCTGAGAGGGGTAGGCAGGTAGGGAGATCATAATGTCCTTGCTGCTAGCTTTCTTCCCCTCTCATTGCAGAAGCTGGGGGGGAGCAGGGTGCATCAGCAAGGGCTCCACTGCAAGTGCTCTGGGTTGCTGTATAGCCGCCAAGATCACTTGTAACAGTCTGCTTGTGTAGTACCCTCCGAGGTCGCCGTCTCTTTTAGGGGACCTGGAACCACAGCAAATTCATTCAAGATGGAGAGGAAATTGATAAGTGATAAAAAATAAAATTAAAACCAGCCTCGCCATTTGCCTGCAAATTAACACGCACACGTGGGGCAGCATGTTGACTTCAAGTTTTTAAAATTGGGTAATTAGCAAAAGGTTATATCTTTTTTGTATATTCATTCATTTAGGGAACCAGTGGAGTTTCATTAACAACAACCTGCACACACAGAGTCTAAATAGATCGTCTAAGGGAAGCAGCAGTTTGGATAGGCTATACTCCAGGAAGATCAGAAAACAGCTGGTTCACCACAAACAGGTAATCTGTATGGTGTGGAATATATTAATCTGTGGTGCAAAAATCGAGAATTTATAAGGTCATTTCCAAAAAGCTGAATGTAAGGATATGCTATTTAAGTCTTAAAATCTTTAACAAACATGATTTACTATTAAACAAATATATGTTCGTTTTCTTACATTGGAATGTTTAAAGTCCAACTGTGGCCAGGTTATGGACATTCAAATATTGAAAAAGCTTAGTGTATAAACTTTAAATTAAACCCTCATTTACATCAGTAGCTGTTGCCATTGTGGAGCAATTAATCTTCTGAGTTTGCATTTTAAATTTTTCGATTTTACTTTGACTTTTTCTCCTGTGGCTCATTTCCCCCCTTTCACAGACTGGTTAGCCTGTTAGCCTTTTAATCTCTAATGTAAACATATAGCACCAGTGTACATAGGGGAGAAAAAAAAGCCCCAAGTTCTAATGTGATCGACTTCACTGCTTCTGTAAATTATGAGGATGAATTGCTTAACAGTGGCTATGATTACCGAGGTCAGTGAGAGCTTAAAGGAGAATTATAGGGAGAGTGAAATACACTTATCCCCATAATTGGCGCCGACGTGTGACACAAGCCGTCACATGTCGGCACTATTGGTCGGGAACTGAGCGATCACATACCACTGATTGCCGAGTTCCTGATTTCCTCCCTGCAGAGTGCGGCGGCTGTCGGTCACTGCTCCCCACAGGCACTCTCGCCTCCCCCTCTCTATTCCTCCGCCGCTGACTGGAGGAACAGATGGGAGAGATGGCGGGCACAGCTGACTCTGGCTCTAAAGAAGCAGAGCTAGTTGTCAAATCAGGCAGCATGGTGGATCCCGACAATATTGTCACGATCTGTCTGGGCTGCAGCACGGCTCTTCGCTGTCCGCTATTGCTCGCTATATGCTGAGTTTTGCGTCAAAGGAGGACATTAGTATATGTCCTCCTATGACCCTAAAGAGAACTAAGGCAAAATAAAGGTTGGGCCATAGTTAATTGTTCATAGTTCTGAATGTCCATAGCCTGGCCTCAGTAGTTTAAGTTCAGAAAGCAAAATAAGGATCTTTGTACACAGGACAGAGGTGAGTAGTACCGTATTCTGACATGTTTGTCCTGTTCAGCTTGCTAGCACTGGGGCAAAAAAGATCCCTTGTGTGGATAACTGTTTATTATGTAGTGTGTATTCTCTAATTGTTTTCTTACCAAAATGCTGTGCTATAGTGTCTTTTTTGTTTTGTCTCTTTATTCTCTTGTTTATGGCTCTGTAATAGAAAGCCCTCAGCAACCATTCTCTCCCTACAATTAGTGTGAAATGGAGAATCTGCTTTCAATTCCATATACATGCACATTTTCACTGATTACTACTTATGGGTCATTGAGAATTCCTCACACCACATAAATCTAAAAACTACCTGCGATTTTGTTATTTTCTTTAACCACCTCATTTAAAAGTGTCTTATTAAGCATTGTCTGATTGCTTATTGCTGATTTGGAGTAATGATATTTGTACTAGATGATACAGATGTGAGTTATTTATTTCATTTAATAAATTAACATTTCCACTAGCAACTCAACCTACTGAAGGCAAAACAGAAGGCGTTAGTAGAACAGATTGAAAAGGAGAAAATACAGAGCAACAAGGGATCATCTTACAAGCTTTTGGTGGAACAGGCAAAACTTAAACAAGCCACTTCTAAGGTAAAGAGTTAATAGACCACGGTTTGAACAATGGGGGATTTTGAAAGTTTTCTTTGTCATGTGTGGCTTAAAAGAGAACTCTGGGGAAATGTATTTTATTAACCCTTGCAGTAGAGCTACCACAGCACTGCAAGGGTTAAAAGAACTATGGCCAAGGCTTTTTTGGCCGTAGTTCTCTTTAGGATCACAGGAGGACATTTACTAATGTCCTTCTGTGACCCAAGACTCAGCATATATCCCACTATATGCTGACAACGCAGAGCTGTATTCGGTTTAGTGCTAATGGTGATTAATGGCTCTAGAATTATTGTTTTCACTCCGACATTCACAGCAATATGTAACGTGTAACGCAATTCTCATTCTTGCAAGTTGGTGTGCATGTGGGGGGCAGGGCACTTGACAAAAAAAAAAACTTTTTTGCATGCATTTTTTTATTTTTATTTTCATTTTTTTTTACACAAACCTTATTGCTATAACATAGGGGGCTAGCAAGCCCCCTATGCAATAGCAAATAGGGTGTGACAGGTCCTCTTTATGGAGACATCAGGTGTCTTTCAGACACCTAATGTTACCCAGGGACCCCAAAGAAGCTGAGGAAGCAGAGATCTGCTTCCCCAGCTTCTTCTCCTGGCTCTAAGAGCCGGAGAATGTAAATAAGTGACACCAGAAGTGATGTAATACACATCACGTCTGGGTCCAGTGATCGGAGGAGAGATCCGCTCCGATCGTTGCGTGGAGAGCCGGCCCCGGGCTTTGCCTGGGGAAACTGACGGTGGCCCCGAGGGGAGGGGGAAGGACGCCACACAGTACAAACGATATGGCGGCTGTATAGACGCCGGATCGCTTGTACATTACAGCTGTCACTGGCTGTTAAAAATGGCAGCATCCATGTTCTTGTTTTAAGCACTTCTGCGGGCCGTCGTCTATAGACGTATTGTGGCCCTGAAGTGGTTAAACCTAAAACTGAATATACTGACAGTTTCAGCCCCCCCAAAAACAAGCTTCTTTAACCTCCCTGGCGGTAATCCCGCGTGTGGCTCGGGGTTAATTTTCAGTACCAAAGCGGTAACCTCGAGCCACACTAGGGATTACACTGTAGCGTCACTTACCTTGTCCCTACGAGCCCCACTGTGTCCTCTGGCCGATGCCGGCATCCGGGTTCCTTCCCTGCGAGCGACGGCGTCGCAGGGGGGCGGAACCGGCGGGAAATTCAAAAGTGAAAAATAGAAAACAATACTGACATAATCAGACCACCAGGGAGGTTAAAAGTGTCCTTTTATTCACCAGTTTTGTCATTCTTTGCAACACGGAGTATTTGAGTTAGCTCATGGTATTATATCCTGTAGTCTGTCCATATCTGGCCTGTATTGTTTCATATATGTGCACCTTGTAGTTTCCAATATGCTGCTCATTCAGAGGGTGTCCCAAATGTGCCCACTGGCAACCATCCTTAAACTAAATAACAATCAAGGTCTTATAGTAGCAGCTGGGTATCTTTTAATAACTTCTAGTAGTTTTAAAGGGTTTTATCGTTTTCTTTTTGGCATTATTATATGATGAGCATTGTTCAGTTTTCCATTTTTTACTTCAACAGCACTTTAAAGATTTGATACGTCTGCGTCGCACTGCAGAATGGCCCCGATCTGCTCAAGACACTGAAGTATCTGCAACAAAAGAGAGCCCCGAAATCGAACCTCTACCTTTCACCTTGGCACATGAGCGCTGTATTTCTGTTGTACAGAAGCTGGCACTCTTCCTCCTGTCTATGGACTTCACTTGTCATGCTGACTTACTTCTGTTTGTCTGCAAGGTATTAGCACAGTTTTTTTTGTTTTGTTTTTTAGGATGTTTCCTATTTTGCTATTAACTGGTTGTCACAGTGCTCCCTCCAGCCTGTCTCCTCTTGCACTGCAGTGATGGTATGTCCCTCAGCATCCTCATGACCTATACACTTTGTAGAGAACGTGATGACTCTGGGACCTTGGTCTGCTGCACCAGAGGGGGAGAGAGGTTGGAAGGACCTGTTTAAGAGCCAGCCGGTAAGTATAACTTTTTTTTTTCTTTTTGAACCTAGATAAAAACGAACACTTAACCCTTGTAGTGTAGGGGTGGCCCCATTGCCAGGGTTAATATAATTTGTGCCTGGAGTTCTTCAAGTTATTCACTCTTGTGCTTACATTTTATTGCCGTTAATGATTTTTAAACACTGCCCTTAATTTGAAAGCCTTTAAAAACATAAGTCTTTCTTTTCAGTGTATACACTTAAATGTGTCTGAATTATTTATAGCGTGAGGCATAATAAAATTCACAAATACAAGTCATCAAGCAATTACAGATTTCAGCATTAAAATAACAGGGCCCTTAAATACAGACTAGTCTTACTTTGTTATCCCAACACCTTACAAAACAGCAAGCCATATAAATGTATCAAAGTAGGTCTAACACTAACTGGATGACATTTTAGTTTGCTGATGCACTGTGTATTGTGGACAATTGCCATGGGTTTTTGTTTGCTATCAGTGCAGTAATGGTAAAAATAGGGACATGCCTGTGCAATTTGCCTAGGTGTTGGCAATGGTAGCCTCCATCAAGGTGCATGTGACAGGGTGACTATACAGGAGCAGAATTGTAAAACAATTGCCTCCCTATATCAGGAAATGCCTAATCAACAAGGGCCTTTGTTGCAGGATCACCAGGTATTCTTTTAATGAAATCTGCAGTTTTCATAATGTTGATTACATTGACATGTTTGGCTTACATGAGATTTTAGTGATTGGGTTTGTATCTACCTTAAAGTGACTAACCTTTAAAATATTTTTTTTTTCATTATCTGTTCCTTTAACTGTGCAGTGTCTATTACATTCTACCTTTTACTATTTTCCATGTAGTGTGTTCACAGTACCAGTTTGATCCTGCCTTTCTTCCTTGTTCAAACTGTCCACACTAAGCACGGAAGCTCATCTGTACTGGTGTGGTCAATTTGTTGGTCTCTTGCATGTATCACAGCTAAGGCTCAGCTCCCTGTATCTTCCAGTGTCTGTTTATGTGACATGCCTCCTCCCAGCCCTTCACTGGTGAGCTCTCTCCGACTCTACAGCATACTTGACGCACCCCTTCCTAGCACTTCACTGATGAGCCAAAGCTCTCTCCTGCTCTACTCTTTACATGACACGCCACTTCCCATCTCTGCACTGATAAGCCATAGCTCTCTGCTGTTTACATGACACACCCCTTTTCAGCCCTTCACTGAGTCTTAGCTCTCTTGCTCTGCTGCTTAACCCTTTAGTGACGGGAGACATACACTGTACGTCCCCACTACTAAGTGCCCAAATGACCACTCATGTACACTCTACGTGATCAGCTATTTGGGGCTCTGTCATGTTGGTAATCGCTGAGAATCATCCTTTAATGAAACCCGGTTTTCAGACACCCGATCCCTTTCAGGAATCTGCTGTTTAACTGAGAGGTATTTACAGTTTTGCCATCACTCTGACAGCTGGTATAGATTGGGATTGGGAAATCCCAAAGTGTATACCGGCTTTGTTTTTTCCTAAAGTTTGCGCAATATAAAAATTAGCTACATGTTTCTTTTGCTGAATCAATTGTTGCAGGCTTCTGATCTTTGTGGGAGCAATCGGAAGTCCTTGGTGACATCTGATCCTGAAATGCTGCAGGATCAGTGCCTCTAAGGTTATTATTGGCTGTTCTTAATTTTAAAGCAGCCTTATGATAACCAAAAAATAATTAGATTATCAATCAGTAATAGTGATATTCATTTACGATGACTGCTTGAGTTAAATAAATAAAATAAAAACGTAAAACATTTTTTGAAAAAAGTAGTGAAATGTGTAAAAATATAAATAGATCTTTGAAAGAGTAAAACCTCTTTAACATTTTAGTTCTTTTCAGCCTTCGGGGTCTTAAAACTTGTGAAATGAGACTGCAGTAATTGTATCTTTGTTCTGCTCAGCGTTGGTGACCTTAGAATAAAAGCCACTGAAATGTTCAACATTTTTATACTTTTTCTTTCAAAAATGCCATCTCGTGAACTCATGCCCTCATTGCAACTTTCTAGGTGCTTGCTAGAATCGCCAATGCTACCCGCCCCACCATACATTTGTGTGAAGTAGTGAATGATCAGCAGTTGGAAAGGCTTTTGTTATTGCTGGTTGGTACCGACTTCAATAGAGGAGACATCTCTTGGGGTGGCGCCTGGGCACAGTACTCTCTGACCTGCATGCTCCAGGATATTTTGGCAGGTACAGTATTAGTTTCATAACTGATTTTTTTTTTTTTCTTCATGCTTCTGTTTTGCAATGCAGCTACATGGTTGAACAGGTAAAAAAAATATACACACACTTCCAAAATATTTGGGATGCTACGTAAAATCTACATCAAAACAGAATGCATTGATTTGCAAATCTCAAACCCATATTTTATTCACAATAGAAAATGTAAAACATATCAAAACTTACCATTTTAAGAAAAAAATAAGGTAACTTTAAAATTGATGGCAGCAACACATCCAGAACAATTTGGACAGGGCATGTAGCATCCCCTCTTTTAACAACACTCTGCAAACGTCTGCAAACTGAGACCTGTTGCTGGAGTTTTGGAAGAGGAATGTTGTCCCATTCTTGCCTGATGTAGGATTCTAACTGCCCAACAGTCCTGGGTCTTTGCCGTTTTTTTTTCATTTCATGATGCGCCAAATATATATTCAATTGGTGAAAGGTCTGGACTGCAGGCAGGCCAGTAATGCACCCGGACTCTTCTACTATGAAGCCAAGCTGTTGTCATAGATGCAGTGTGCCCTGCTGAAATAAGGCCTTCCCTTAAAAAGACGTTGTCTAGATGGGAGGATATGCTGCTCTAAAACCTGGATATTTATTTCAGCATTGGTGCCTTTCCAGATGTGCATCCTGCCAATTCCATATGCAATAATGCCCCCACAATACCATCGGATGCAGGCTTTTATGACTGAGCACTGATGATATTGGTTGCAAAATGTTCTTCCAGCTCTTTCTTGTTAGTTCCACTTTGCCAGCTTTTTGTTGCCCTGTCACAATTTTTTGGAGATGTGTTGCTGCCATCAATTTCAAAATTACCATATTTTTTTCTTAACATGGTAATTTTTTTTCAGTTTAAACATTTAATATGTTTTCTATTTTCTATGCATTTTGTTTTATGTAGATTTTACACAGCGTCCCAACTTTTATGGAGTTTGGTTTTGTGTGTATATGTCTACACATATATATACCGAGTACTCGTACTCACCCAAATGCTCCAGATGCCTAGCCCGTTACTGGAACTTGAGAGCATGACACCAGGGAGCATGAAGCTGGCTTATGACTCACCGACCATCTTCCTGATTGGTCGGGAAGCTGGCGAGTCATTAGCCGCCCCCCTGGCTTCCTGATCGGCCAGAAAGCCGGCTTTGTGCTCCCTCGTCACTTGGTGAAAGCTTCCCTGCTAATTGGCGTGCGTGTGTGTATATACGTATATTATTTTTTTAAATGGTCAGAAATATTTGATTTGACGTGGAATTTCCAAATGTCCACTGTGTGAGCAGATATCACAAATACTTTAGTTGCTACAGCTACTAAATTCTATTGCGGTAATTTGTTTGGCAGGAGAGTTGTTGGCCCCTACTGCAGCTGAAGCCCTGGATGAAGGAGCCATGGGAGAGGAAGCTGGTGCTTCAGCCGGAGACTCTGATGACTCTTTACAACAGTCCTCTGTCATACCATTGGTGGAAACTGTGGATGAGCCTTTAACACCTGACATTACAGGTAGACTGAAAGCCCATAGACCAGACAAAGCATATATATCATGTGTTTAGCATCTCTGCAGTATATATAT